CAATAGCTCTCCAGGTCCAGTCGACAAGTAAATCTTTCATCTAATTGGTTCAGTTATGCTGATTCACTACTGACTTCTTGAACCAAAACTAAACACAAAGTGGCTATTGTCAGAAGCTGTTAATCTGCTGCCCATTTGCAAGTATCTCTCATTTTTGCTGACCATTCCATGGTCGCTGTTAGTGTAGTTAATGTAAACTTTCTGTAGCTTTTCTTTCTGCTACGATAGCGGTTGTTTATATTGTTACGCCTCCAGTCGTTAGTTAATTTTCCGTAAATTCGTTTCGACGAAACTTTAGCGACACAAGTCCTTTCTTAAATAAAACTGGTTTATTCTTTCCGAATACAACTTTACGATACACTTAATTTCAACAGTCGCTCTATAACAAACACTATAATTCACGTCTCACGTGGCCAACAATATTTTGTCCGCATACATTCAATTACTCATTCACTGACTGCAGTTCAATTACTCATTACCTCTTTATTGTCTTTATCAGTATTTTGACAGATCTAAGGGCAAAAAATTGCCTCCCCCCAAGTGACACAGCGGTAAGTCTTAATACGTACAACGCTAAAAACTGTGTTTCGATACCCATGGTGGACAAAACACAGATAGCCCATTGTGTAGCTTTGTGCATGATAACAAAACTTCCAATTAAACAACCCTTCCTTCAGCCTTTTTTGTTTTAGTGTAACTTATTGACATTTTAAACCGCAACAGTACTACGTGAACGTAGAAAAGCCGATTGTTAATCTTCGACCTCATCTAAACATTGTTAACTGTCACGTGAACGTATAAAAGCTGATTGTTAATATTCGACCTTTTCTAAACATTGTTAACACGCAGTAAGAGAGAGAGAGAGTCGCATACTCATTAAGTAAAAATAACTTCACGTGTACGCCCCCTAATGTTCATTCGGTAAACATAAGTACGCCCACATACCATCTTAAATATAAACTATAAGATAAATATATGTGGCTGGTACAAAACGTAAAATACAGAGATAATTTGGAAACTTAATACACCAAAAAATCTGTGCCTTCTTAATAAAAAGAAGATATTTTTGTGTTTATTTTTTTTTTACAAATGCAGACATTCTTTCAAAATAGATGTTATAAAATACTGCAAAAAATCAGAAAAATGATATCATAATTACCGCAATAGAGCTTAATTTTTTTTTCTTTTAGTTTTTACTTCTTTTCAAACCGTTTTATTTATACATTTCTAAAAACCCATTTGAATTCTTGATACTCTCGGTATCAGTTTATAATGCATTTTTTGTTTACCTTTATAAAATGGTCTATAATTTTTCGGTAAACAACCCGAAATCCTGATGCTCTAATCACCACCTGGCCTTTTTGAACTCTTTTTGGATACACATTTTTGGGAACTAAGGATGCAGTACATTTTTTTTTTTTACATATATCAAACCATTTTGTTTATATATTTTTCATCACGCTGTCATTTCCAGTTTACTATTGTTTGTTTATTTATTTTAGAATTTCGCGCAAAGCTACACGAGGGCTATCTGCGCTAGCCGTCCCTAATTTAGCAGTGTAAGACTAGAGAGAAGGCAGTTAGTCATCACCACCCACCGCCAACTCTTGGGCTACTCTTTTACCAACGAATAGTGGGATTGAAAGTCACATTATAACGAAATGAATTACTCCTTTGATGTCCCACTAAATGCAAAGGATTACTTTCTGCGGATAGAGTCTAGATTTTGGGGTCGGAAGTGGTTTTTGTCAAGGATTGAGCCATTGTTTTTGGCGTTTAATATTCGCATGGAGAATCCATTTTTCATCACCGGTGACAATTCTGTCCAAAAATGGTTCACACGCATTACGCGCCAGAAGAGACGATGCAAAGTTCACACGTTGGAAACGATGATCATTGGAGAGTTCGTGAGGCATCCAAACACTTTCTTTAAGGAATTTTCCCATGTTCCTTAGATGTTTACGTATTGTTTCATGAAAGACATGCATTTTCAGGGCCATTTCACGAGTGTGTTGTCATGGGTTTGACTCAACAAGCGTCTTCAGAGCCTCAATATCAATTCCAACATGTCGGCCACTGCTATCACAGTTTTTAAGGCTAAAGTCACCTGAACGAAATTTGCTGAACCATCGTTGACACTTACGAACGTTCGAAACATTTCCATAAACTTCTTTGATATTCTTTGTGGCTACAGAGGCGTTGTTTCCTTTCTTATATTCAAACAGCATTACATGCCGAATGTGTGTCTCATCATGTGCCATCACTATAAGATATTAGAGTATACTAAACTTTACACATTATATAGGCAACACTAACGTGACGTTTAGACAGTTCGTTTAACTATTATACGTGATGTACATTTTTGGGGAGATGAATAATGAAAGTGTTCCAAAACGCGACATTAATTTCTTGACGACCTAATAGTTTTATCAAACTTTTCGGCTACTACTTTACTGCCGTATTCAGGGAAGACCTGAGAAGGAATATTTCCTTTGGTAATGGGTTCGACCCGTAATCTTCTTAAGAATCTTAGACATTTCATATGTTTTCTTTCGCTCTAATTGAAGATGTATTTTGTTTGATTATTCCCGATGATAACTTAATATCTTTTAACGTACAAAGATAATCTGAACAACACGCACCTAACTACATGCAACTTTACGAAATACCTTAATAAAGTTAATAGAAATATTACTACGGCTTCCGTTTCATTTTCTGGCGTCGCTAATAGGTAATTCAAAACAGTGAGTTTTATTTTAATTGTAGTCTTCTGTGGTATATGTGCGGTTTAACTCGATGATTTTAATCATCTTCTGTGGTATATGTGCGGTTTAACTCGATGATTTTAATTGTCGTCTTCTGTGGTGTATGCGCGGTTTAACTCAATGATTTTAATTGTCTTCTTCTGTGGTATATGCGCGCTTTAACTCAATGATTTTAATCGTCTTCTGTGGTATATGCGCGGTTTAACTCAATGATTTTAATTGTTGTCTTCTGTGGTATATGCGAGGTTTAACTCAATGATTTTAATTGTCTTTTTCTGTGGTATATGCGCGGTTTAACTCAATGATTTTAATCGTCTTCTGTGGTATATGCGCGGTTTAACTCAATGATTTTAATCGTCTTCTGTGGTATATGCGCGGTTTAACTCAATGATTTTAATTGTCGTCTTTTGTAGTATATGCGCGGTTTAACTCAATGATTTTAACTGTCGTCTTCTGTGGTATATGCGCAGTTTAACTCAACGATTTTAATTGTTGTCTTCTATGGTATATGCGCAGTTTAATTCAAAGATTTTAATTGTTGTCTTCTGTGGTATATGCTTAGTTTAACTCAATGACGTCGAATGAATTAGAAGGTTTGTTTGTTGTTTTAAGATTACAGTTTAGCGACGCTTTAAGCTATTTTTTGGCTTTTTTGTGAAAATCTCTTAACTTTTCTGTATCTAGCATACTTTATTGAATTAAGACACCTTAATTTAAAACATCAAAATGTTTGTTAAACTGAGTATATCTCAAGTATACTTTAAGTGTGCTGCTGTGATAATCAATGTACTTCATCAGTATTTTCGTATTGTAATTCCCCCCGTTTTTATTACTGGTTCAGCCTCCCAGTGGCACAGCGGTACGTCTGCGCTAGAATTCGGGTTTCAATACCCGTGGTGGGCAAAGCACAGTTAGCCCATTGTGGAGCTTTGTGCTTAATTACAAACAAAAGTACTGGTTCGGTTTTAGTATATTACCCCCCCCCCCATGTTTATTATTTTAATTGTTGGATTATTTTGCATCATTTGCTTATTAAATGTTTACGACTAACCAAAGTATCCTAAACTCAGGAGATACGATTGGAATTTCGGTAAAAATTATCCTTAATAGCAAGGGTATCCAGCTGATGAATCAATACATTTGTTGTATGAATGAAGTGTTGAACTAGCTATATTAATTACTGGGTTACGTTTTAGTTGTAAAGTGTTAAATTAGCTATATTCATTACTTGGTTAAGTTTTAGTTTTGAAGTGTTGAACTAGCTATATTCATTACTGGGTTAAGTTTTAGTTTTGAAGTGTTGAACTAGCTATATTCATTACTGGGTTAAGTTTTAGTTTTGAAGTGTTAAATTAGCTATATTAATTACTGGGTTAAGTTTCAGTTTTGAAGTGTTAAATTAGCTATATTCATTACTGGGTTAAGTTTTAGTTTTGAAGTGTTGAACTAGCTATATTCATTACTGGGTTAAGTTTTAGTTTTGAAGTGTTGAACTAGCTATATTCATTACTGGGTTAAGTTTTAGTTTTGAAGTGTTAAATTAGCTATATTAATTACTGGGTTAAGTTTTAGTTTTGAAGTGTTAAATTAGCTATATTAATTACTGGGTTAAGTTTTAGTTTTGATCTGAACTTTTGTCAGATATTAATGATAAATAATAGGAAAGTAAAACTTTACTTTTTGTTATTAGCATCCGTCTAGATAGAAAGTAATAAGTCGGCAAAAAAAAATATTCCTTTTTTAAAATAATTTTTTTAAGTATTATAAAAATGGATGTATACGAAGAAAATCCACAGCAGGCAAAATAGATGTAAAAACTTCAAGAACTGTTGTTTTACAGTTAATTTAACATGTTTCGGCGGTGTCTTTGTAGGATTACAAAGTGGCACAGAAGAGTACGTGTTTGGATAACATCTAAAAATGTTTTACAACGAGTTAGAAATCTCTCGTAATATTAAAAATAGTAACAACAAGACAAGTCTGCTGGTGTGCTAGTAGATGGCGCTGATTAAAGAAGATAGCCTTGCTGGAACCGTAGTTTTTGAAGATTCTTCAATTTCTTGACACTTATGTAGAGAGGGGGTGGGGTGGGAGAAGAGTAAAATTTTGTCGAGAGACATAATTGTGATTATACAGTTTGTGCGTCTAATCCTTCATACACATACACACAATAGTGTAATGAGAGTAATTTACACTTAACAACTTCTGTGGTAACAATGAGAGTAACAATAAATCTGTATTGCCACAACTGTTTATTTCCACTATACAGTAAACTTTACACGATTTGGGTGACTTAATTAGTATTTATTTCTCCTACGTAGTACACATTTTATCGAGATTTAGATAATCAAGCATTTTATTTTTTTTTATTTATTCGGACTAGAAAATTCTACACAGACTTTGACGTCACAAGACAGGACTCAACAACACGTTTTATATTCGCGGTTTCCAAGATAGGACGAGGTTCATTGGAGAAGTATGGTCATTCCCGGTTCCACCAGCAACTCCTGCGGGGAAGGAACGCACACATTGTCGTACACAACCTAGGAACAGACGTAAAGAAACACCTTATCCTGTGCGTTCGTTGTCTCGCAAAACCGAGAAACATACATTAGCGTCATTACGTAACAGGAATGAGGAGAACTGCTGGTTATTTACATCAATATAAGAAAAAAATACTAAAACTGACTCTACATAATTAATAAACTCGTTAAGTAACGAGTCACAAAACATGTATACCATTTTCGTATATTCAATGGTTACTCTTCAGAAATAATTGTTGCATAAAATTAACAACTAATTAGAATGTATACTAATAATGAAATAAAAAAAATGAATTTAAAATAAGCATGTACAAACTGCGCCCACATCTTCGAAGCACTAAAAACTTTTATTGAAACGCGAGTTGAGCACGAGCTAGTGGTTAACACATTTAGAGTACGAATTGGACGGTTCATGTTTCGCGGCCCATTACCGTAGAAATACGCTCCGCACTACTAAAAGAGTGAAGGTCAAGCCCTACTATTGTCAAACAAGAGCAGCATAGTTTTCTGTCTAATCTATTAGGTAAAGTTATGGACAGCTACGTGCATATAGCCCTTTGTGCAGCCACCCAGTGGCAAATCTGAAGGCTTATAACACTAAAAAGCGGGTTTCGATACCCGTAGAGGGCACAGAACGTAAGCCATTATGCAGCTTTGTGCTTAGTAATAATAAAAAAAAAGAAATCCTTAGTGCAGCTTCGCGGGAAAATTCTGAAGCAAACAAATCCAATAAAAGGCCCTGTATTATATAAATACACATTCCATTCTATTTAAAAAAACCTTTAAACAAATTAATGAAATACTTTTCGTAAATTAATGTCTATAGTTTGAATCCGAAGAAAGAAAAATCTCTATCAGCTTGTAAGTTTATTAATCATTTCTTATGAACAAGGTGGAATAAAGTTAGTTAGTAAAGCCTAATATGATTGTTAGAATGTGATGTCGAACTGATTATATTGTTAACTGAACACACTAGGGGGTGTAGCAACTTTTGGTTTACGTTATACGTAACGAAGTTCACTTATTACATCCAGCAATGGTACATTGTCATAGCCAGATGAGATTGCTAAACTGATTTGATGTAATACATTAACCTAAAAACACAAAAGGCTTAATAAGAATGTTCCCCCTTCCCCATACTTTGACACGTGATTTATTACACGGTAAGTTTGAGGTCCTATCAAAACTTTCACGGGCTTTCTTAAGCAGTTATTTAGAGTTAGTTTTGTTCTATTTAAGATAATTAAGAATTCATGAATAATTGCAGTTGACATTTAAAGAAAAAAAAAGTGGAATAATGAACACAATACTACTCTCACGTGGTTGTGTAAAGTCGGTTAGAATAATGAAACTAGAAACTTTTACTAAGCATTAATAAAAGGAAAATAAAGGTGTTAAATTATGAAATAAAATGTATTTATATAATAACAATAGAATTTATATTTGAGCATTTTTAATATATTTAATTCATACATAGAAAATGTTTTCACTTGTAGATTATTTGTGTTCAGTTGAAACGACCATTTGCATGTTTTCACTTGTGGATTATTTGTGTTCAGTTGAAATAACCATTTGCATGTTTTTACTTGTAGATTATTTGTGTTCAGTTGAAATAACCATTTGTATGTTTTTACTTGTAGATTATTTGTGTTCAGTTGAAATAACCATTTGCATGTTTTTACTTGTAGATTATTTGTGTTCAGTTGAAATAACCATTTGCATGTTTTTACTTGTAGATTATTTGTGTTCAGTTGAAATAACCATTTGCATGTTTTTACTTGTAGATTATTTGTGTTCAGTTGAAATAACCATTTGCATGTTTTTACTTGTAGATTATTTGTGTTTAGTTGAAATAACCATTTGTATGTTTTTACTTGTAGATTCTCAGTAAAATTATATCTTAAAGATACGACCTTCAGAAAGAAAGCAGTCAATACAACGACTAGACACACACAAAACTACTTCCGTTGAAATCGACAGTATCTTTCTTCAGAAGCAATTTAATCAATGAATAGATGAAAATTAATGATTGAACTATTTACTTACTTCATCAGTAATTCTAAGAGAAGTATGTTTATTGGTAATACAACTT